GAGTGCATTAATGTTACCAAGTACAATTGTTACATTAATTGTACACAGTATTAGATAATAAATTGTACTTATTATTTCAATGTCATTTATTAAAAGACCCAATTCATATTTAGAAAATATCATATCAGTATAACGAGTTACACTAATTCTGCACTATTAATATAATTGTAAATATAAAATAATAATACAAAACAATTAATTTCTATATCTCACAATGGTTTAACAAGTTGTATCTAATAAGATAATGACTAAAATTATTATAAAAATAACTACAAATATAGATTAATAATACCAAAATCAAAACTTAATAAACCAAAACTTTACATTTATTTTAAAATTTTAAAATATTTTTTGCTAAAACTTGTTTAGTTGACATAACAAAATAATAGACCTGTATCAGTATTGAACTCTTTATTATATGATTAGATTAAAAGTGTACTAATTATGTTTTAAGTGCTTTATTAGTATGGAGATCAAAGTTTAAGTCGGATTCACCTAAAATACTTGATATAGATTTGAGCAGGTATATAAACAATTGAAAAGCATAGTTTAATCAATATAAAAGTTTATTATTACAAGTATTATTAAAAGATAATTATAATATAAGCTATTATTATGTGGAGAGAAATGAAATATATGTGGAAATTATTATTCATTGTATATATTTGTATTGAATTCATAGCATGTATTGATATAAAGACAACATCGGGTGTAGTGAGGGGTCAGACGATAGATGTGTTGGGCGTAAGTATTGACCAGTTTTTGAGTATACCTTATGCCGAACCACCCGTCGGGAAACTCCGGTTCGCCAAACCTGAACCCATCAAAACACCCAAACCGGTAAAATATATTAATAAAATTTTTAAATAAAATTATTAATTAACGTTGATTTGTTAAAAATTTTTAGGGCATTATAGACGCGACAAAACCCAAAAACACTTGTGTTATGCCATTAAGTGTCCCAAATCTGACCCAAAGTGAAGACTGTTTATTATTAAACATATGGACACCAAATGCAGTAAATAATAACACAAACAAATCACAGCTCAAACCCATTATGTTTCACATACACGGCGGGGGGTTATCTGTGGGCTCCATATTTGGTGGAATGGATAGTAATGTGTTGGCCACACGTGATGTGGTTTACGCCTCAGCAGCTTATAGATTAGGACAGTTGGGCTTTCTATACGGGGATCGGGAGGAC